TGGGCTGAGCTAATGACCCGACTTTTTTGTTTGGTTTCCTTTCTGTAATTAGCCAGACCTGTGTTGGGTGAAGATTTCCCTTCTATCCTCATTGGGTTCCTCCAGAATGCTGGTGTGGTGGGAGAAACCCATTTATAGTGGGGAGAGGGAATGACATCAAGGAGAGAGTTCAGCACCTGGTCATTGATCATCCATAAGTGTGGTTACCTCAGAACTGAAGGGGCTGATTCAATCTTGAGGGTGGCTTTCCCCCCTCAGTATACTTCCATTTCACACAGTGGTGGTATATTAGAGTTGGTAACCACACACCATGCTCAGATAAAGATTGACTATTCTTTTTATGGTAATTTTATTAAACATTACAATTAAAGAATTAAAACTATTATATACTTAAAAAGAAGATCAAAAAGAAAAAATAGAAAGTCCAGAAAAAAAATAGAAAGAAAAATAGAAAAGAAAGAAAAAATAAAAGTATAGTAAAGAAAAAGAAAAGAAATATATACAGAATGTCTTCCTCTTTCCTTATAACTAGTATAAACAATTTTAGTAATTTATCAGTTTCTCTTAAAATACAACAAATGATCTTTTCTCTCCATATCCCATCTCTTATCTAGAAACAAATCCTTAAAGTCTCATTGTTCAGTCCTGGTCAGCAAAAATCTGTTAAGGATTACCAAAGATAACAACACATAATCAAATAATCAAACAACGAATCAGCGAACACCTAGACGCAAACAAAGTCATTACTAAAAACCAACATGGGTTTGTCAAAAACAGATCATGCCAGACAAATCTTATTGCATTCTTTGACCAAGTGACAAAACTAGTGACCAGAGGAATGCTGTGGATATAATTTATTTGGACTTTAGTAAGGCATTTGATAAAGTAGATCACAACCTACTACTTGATAAGATAGAAAAATGTGGGTTAGACAGCATCACCACCAGATGGATTCGTAAATGGCTGAACAAAGTAAGGTTCTACATTTAGGCAAGAAAAACCAAATGTACATGTATAGTATAGGTGGTTCCTTGCTCAATAGTAGTAACTGTGAAAGGGATCTTGGAGTCCTAGTCAACAATCACTTAAATATGAGCCAGCAGTGTGCTGCAGCTGCCAAAAAAGACAACATAGTGCTGGGCTGCATTAACAGAGGGATAGAATCAAGACCACGTGAAGTATTAATACCACTTTACAATGGCTTGGTAAGGCCACACTTGGAATACTGCATCCAGTTTTGGTCACCATGATGTAAAAAAGATCTTGAGACTCTAGAAAGAGCAACAAAGATGATCAGGGGACTGGAGGCTAAAATATATGAGGAACGGTTGCTGGAATTGGGTATGTCTAATTTAATGAAAAGAAGGACTAGGGGTGACATGATAGCAGTATTCCAATATCTCAGGGGTTGCCACAAAGAAGAGGGAGTCAAGCTATTCTCCAAAGCGCCTGAAGGCAGGACAAGAAGCAACGGATGGAAACTAATCAAGGAGAGAAGCAACCTAGAACTAAGGAGAAACTTCCTGACAGTTAGAACAATTAATCAGTGGAACAACCTGCCTACAGAAGTGGTGAATGCTCCAACACTGGAAGTTTTTAAGAAGAGACTGGACAGCCATTTGTCCGAAATGGTATAGGGTTTCCTCCCTGAGCAGGGGGTTGGACTAGATGACCTCCAAGGTCCCTTTCAACATTATCATCATCATCATCATCATCATCATCATCATCATCATCATCATCATCATCATCATCATCATCATCATCATCTATTTTAACCCTGGTCAAATAAACAAACTGTCAACACTGTAAACATTGGATGTTCCCGCTCTGACAACTGATGAAAATTGCAGCCATTTTCTCTTTGCTTTTAACATGCTTTTTCTTCTATTTAGAAATCAGGTGCAGAAGGGAGGTTGGGATGAATGCTTGAGCTCAGCTAGCCATAATAATAAACGCTGCTTTGTGGCAACCCAAGGACGGATTGATAATGTTTTGGTGGGCTGAAGAGCTGGAGAGAAAACCCGTGTTTCAGGCTAATTGGAGAACGTAATTTATGATTGCTTGTTGGGGGTGGGAATTGCAATTTGTTACTTTGTATCCGGGGGAAGGGAAACTAGTTTTGGGTTCAACTATGCAGTGCCGATACTTTGCTTCCTGAGTAAAATGTTCTTTGAGGAAGAATTCTTGCCTTGAAGTTCTTAAGATGGGTTCTTCTTTTTACTTTTATCCAACTTAACCTTTAGTCTCTTCAAATAATGTCCTAGAACTTTTCATTTTTGTCTTTGTCTCTGCAACTATTTCATTGCTTACAATTATTTTGCTTATTCCAATTTCTAATAAAAACAACATGGCAAAAATTAAAGCATTTTTGCATTAGATTTAAAAAAAAATCAGCCAGCAGGGGCATGAAGAAGCATAAAAAAATATTCTCTTTTCCAAACTGGAAAAATAAAATGCATACATTTGTAAGCAAAAAGCATAAGTCATAAGAAAGGATTTGATTATCCACCCTCCAGACAATCTCCTAATTTCATAAAGGGTTTTTGAGAAAAAATGACATAGTGTATTAAAGCAGGGAATCCCAAGGATCCAGGCCAGATTTCCAGATACTATATATTACTGCAGCTCCTTGGGGAAAAACACACAACTGCCTTTGTTAGGTGACAGTAACAGCCTCCAGCTCACTAAATTAATGAGGCTTTTCAGAGACCTTAAGTGACTGTAGTTGCGGTGCTAAAGAAGCCCTGAGGTGCATTCCCTTAGTTTTGGACTCCAACATGTAAATGTTTCTTTTAAAACAATTAATTGATTGATTCAGCCAACTGGTGAAATAGATATGTGTATTTTTGCCTTCAAATCAGTTTTGACTCCTCACGACTGTCTGGCCTAGTCCCTTCAGTTTTCTTAACAAGATTTCAAAAGTGGTTTGCCCTTGCCTCCTTCTTCTCAGGGCTAAGAGAGAGTGACTGACTCAAGGTCACCCTGCTGGTTTTGAGCCTCAAGCAAGACTAGAAGTCATGGTCCACCCTCTAGTCCACTACACCAATTTACATTTGACCTTGGTAAAATATTAGCTATGTATTCCCAATCTCTTGGGATGGTGTTTTTCCTGTGTCAGTTATACTTTTTCATGATCTGACAAGCTTTCCTTCTGACTCTGAGTATTCAGCATGTACCATTTGAGTTTATGTCAGGAAGCTTTTTAGTACTAGCTAAGATCTAGCCAGATTCCCTAAGTAACAACTAAGGTTAGTTGTTATTTATAAAATTAGAAAAAGTTTAATTAGATGTGATCTGTGGATACATTAACTGATGTATTTGAGCTGTGATATTATTGCCTTCAAATTATGCAACTTTGTTTTAAAGAGAGAAGGGTAAAAGTTAAATATTGGTGTATCTGCTTATGCTCAAAAATATTCTGCTTTCACCAGCTTCCCAATAATTAAGAAAGATTACTGACAGTAGTTGTGATCTCAAAACACACACAACTAGGTTAGAAAAGACCTAACAGTTACATTTGCTTGTCATGCTAAGCATGGTTACTCTTTTCATTGGTTATGTTATGCAAATCTAGCTAATTTGGTTGGGTTATTGTTAATCAGTATACAGATCAGGGTAGTAACCAGTTAAGCACATTGAGTGAATGTAGAGTTCTATATTTGAATGTTAGCAGTCTGTAACTCAGTTAAACCTGAATAAATGGTATTTTTTATCAAAATACCATTTGTACAAAATGGAATAAACAGAATATTGGATCTAACAAACATTTGCGGAGCAGACCAGTTGGAATCAGTGGATCTACTAGATCCAACAAATGCTTTCTATTTATGGCATCATCCAGATACAGTGTATCTCAAATTAATAATATGTTTTATTACATTTCACTTTTCTATTATATTTTGTCTTTCACTGACTGAATTTAAGTAAGTTTTTCAGGGCGGTGGCCTGTCAGTAGCTGAGATCTAGATAAAGGCACACAGTGTCAATTCTCATGCAAGATTGATCTCATGATTTGATACCAAAATTATTGAGCAATGTTGATATATTCCTGTGATAGTGGTATTCTATCTGAGAGAAAATGACATGTTCATTGCAAAATTCCATGGCATTACTGCCTTACATCTATAAGGATTATCTCAGTTCTAATTGGAGAGATTTTGATCCACCCCACTTCCCATCTTCTAGGATCTGATTATAATAGTATGATGGTAGGCAAAGGAATATGCAGAATTGCTGTTATGTCAGCATTGGAAATGTTGAATACGACAGAGGTTTGCCATGGAGGGTGTATAAACCAAGGAATACTAGCAATTTATTTTGATAAGGGTAAAGAAAATGTCTTTCAACTTGGGCTAGAAACCATTAAGTGAGGTACTCATTTAGTGGTCTGGAATTATTGTGATCATTTATTGGCTGGCTGTTCTCTGGTAGTTACAGATATATAAATATCACTGTGCTTGTCATATTCTAATCATCAAATAGATCTGCATTTTATACTGAATTCAGACAGACAGAAATGCTGGTATTTGGAAATGTCCTAATAAAGTACTCTGACTGGATTTACACAACATTGTAAACTAAAGTATGGCTGCTCACTTGTGCTGCGGATTGCAAACAAAGCTGCTGTACACTATTATTTTTAAAAAAATAGGAAAATAATGTGTTCAGTGCAGAGCATTCTTCACATCATTGCCAATGCATTGCTGATCATAAGAAAGCTGATTTTTTTTTAGAATGAATTTGATTTCCTTAGGTGTTTAAAGGATATAAGAAAGAGGAGGGGAACTGATTGCTAAGAAAATCAATGAATAAATTGACAAGAAAGCCCTGCTCTCCCTTTTGTAACCTAGCCAATTGACTTCCCTGAAAAAAAGTAATAAGCAAGCATTTCTGTGTTGATCCAGAGAGAATGATACCAATCTTTTTATATGTTTTTTCTGTATCCTAGCATTTTTTTATGCATGGGGCACAACTGTAATTAAGAGCTGCAGGATGAAAAGATGGCACACTCAGTGCTGGTACCACCAGGACCTGACAGCTTCTGCTTTTTTACGAAAGAGTCACTGGCAGCTATTGAACAACGCATTGCTGAGGAAAAGGCTAAGAAGTCCAAGCCAGAACGCAAAGACATCGATGATGATGAAAATGGACCAAAACCGAATAGCGATTTGGAAGCTGGCAAATCACTGCCCTTTATATATGGAGACATACCTCCCGGGATGGTGTCTGAGCCACTGGAGGACCTGGACCCCTATTACCTTAACAAAAAAGTGAGTCCTCTGCTAGGAGTTTAACAAAGAATTTGGGAGGAGGGAAATTCTGCAGAGTCCTCTTTAGCCAGTAGGTTGGAGGGATAACTGCTATATCTCAAATTATTATCACATAAGTAAGGATTACTACTTTTGTTCATTTATGCTCACAAATAAAGCATTACGTAGGGGGAACATTACAGTATTGTAAATATGCTATTCCCCACCCTCACCCCATTATATGTGAAGCGGTTTTATTATATCTTTAGTATTCACACATCTGGAGGAAAAGGATTGAAAAAAATATTTAACAAAAAATGATTTGATTTCTGTGCTATCCTACAGCTATCTGAGTTGCTGTCAGATCTTTAGCATTTGAACAATCTGATTCTGACTTGCTATTAAAAAAAAATGGGAAGATATTCTTGTAGGCAATAAATCTTATGAAATAATCCCGTCTTCTTGCTTTCAATTTAATTACAATTAAAATAATTCTTTGGCCTGGTCATCTCCAGCCCGCTATCCTTCACCTGCCTATCTCCCAGAATTCATAGCCAGAAAGGTAAGGTCAACCTTTCTGGGAATTCCATATGTTAATGCAGCATTTGGAGAAGGACACTGTAAGCTTTAAGAGCAGAACATTATTTTTCTTTATAATTTCTTCCGTAACGAATTGTGTAACAGCAGCAAGATACATGTTTTTATATTCTCAGAGGATACATATCAAATCCTGCTCAATGAGTACTTTCCAAAACTTCATTCCACTTATTTATTCTGAGTAGAGCTCTTTTGTTAAGGGCTAAACAAAAAGTAAAAGGTAAAGTTCCTTTTCATACAACTCAGTTAGCAGGATGTTTGTATTATTGCTTGAATGCCTATAAATCTTGTCTAAACTAATTCTTGGTTCCTGGGTTCTTGAGATTTGAGCAACTCTTTCAAGATAAAAATGGTATAATGGCTTTGTAACTTCACTGCATAGAACAACTAGGGTTGTTTTTCTTTTTAGCATATGATCATGGACATAATCACCCCAGCAGACGTATGTTTGACCCCATCTTTACCTCAGAATAATTGGTATGTGATCTGGATATGGATGACATTAGACTGAGTCCTTTAACACATCAGATCATTTCCTGGTCCAGATGGCATTTTCACTGCTCATACACTCTACAAGGAAAATGGGCCCATGAAGAAGGTCTTCCTCAAGATCTAATGGACCTTGATGGATTCCAGAAGGTTCTTGGGGAGTTTCATATGATCTGTTAGGCTGTTTCACTGAGTGCCTGGTGGACTTCTGGCATGAAGGGATGCTTAGTATGATTCTTCCCAAGCAGCCTCTTTCTATACTGATTGACACTGGGATTGGAGGTGGGGGTGTTCCTTGTTTTACCAGGATGTATGGGACAAGATATGTTACAAGCTAGAGTTGAAGTGCCAGTGAAAGGAAAGTAGGTACGAACTACAGGTAGTTCTCACTATAACTGAATCCAGAACTTCTTTCTCTAAGCAATGTGGTTAATAAGTGAGTCATGCCCAATTTTATTACCTTTTTGCCATGATTGTTAAATGAATCACCACAGTTGTTAAGCAAATCTGGCTTCCCCCATTGACTTTACTTGTTGGAAGCCCCCTGGGTAGGTCACAGATGGTGATCACATGACTCTAAGACATTGCAACCATTCTAAATGCATGTCGGTTGCCAATTCTGATCACATGACCAGAGGGATACTGTGGCAGTCATGAATGCAAGGGTCAGTCTTTGCATTTTTTTAAAGAACTTTCATAACTTTGAATGGTTATTAAATGAATGGTCGTAAATCAGGGACTATCTGTATGGTCAAGCCTACCACCTGTGACTTTAGGTGTGGGGAGGAACTTGTTTAAATTTGACTGCTTCCTGATAGAGAAATAGGAGCAGGAAAAAGTCTTGTGACTTTTTGTCACAAGATTTTGCAATTAACGTTGTTCACATTCTCTGTAATCTTGATTATTCACGGGCAGAATCAGAAGTGATGCCTGAAGCGCGACTAGCAACATTATCTAGGACTCCTTTTGATCTATGAACTCTGATGAAGTGAATAGGGTGCTCATATTCTCAGTTTGGATTCAGTTGTGGAATAAAAATGCATTTTACTCTGGTAGACGACCTTCAACACTTTGAGGGAATGCATCCATTCTGATATTGTTATACGTTTCGGGGGTATTTGATACTATTAACCAGGTCCTCCTGCTAGGCTGCTTAGAGCAGGGCTTTTCAACCAGTGGTATGGGTACTCCCTGTGGTACATTGGCACCTGGCAGGTGGTACACGACCATCCTAGAAAAGTGGTAGCGGCCGAGGGGAATGAGCTGAACTGGTGGCAGCACCGCACAAGCCTGAGCGAGAAATGGCTGCAGCTGCAGGGCTGTCAGGGCTCAGCGGAAGCACCAGGATCAGCACCAGGCTCCAGCTGGAGCTTGATGTTGATCCTGGCGTTTCTGCTGAGCCCTGAAGAAGCACCAATCAGCTGGAAAGCAGCACTGATCCTGGTGCTTCTCCTGAGCCCAGAAGAAGCGCCGATCAGCTGGAACGTTGCAGCATCTCCAGGGTCTTGTGATTTACATTCAGATGCTTGGCAACTGATTCATATTTATGACGGTCACAGTGTCCCAGGGTCATGTGAAATGTCCAAAACCTGCTGCAGCCACCCAGCAGATGGGGGGAATAAAAACCAAACACCCCCCACCCCACCTCCGCTGCCAATCCTCAACAGAAATGCTCACAACAATGGAAATGTCGGACAAGAGGAAGAACGCCACCAGGTGGGCAGGCAGGTGTCTTGCTCGGCTGTGGCTTGAGGGGCACTTTTTTCAGTGCCATTGTAACTTCAAACAGTCACTAAGCGAACTGTTGTAAGTCGAGGACTACCTGTACTTTATCACGTTTTTCCTTTTTTTTTTGGTCATCAAGTTTTTGACACCTTGCTAAGTGACTGGTGGTACTCGATATTGTCATATCCTAAAAGTGGTACAATGGGTGAAAAGGTTGAAAAGCCCTGGCTTAGAGGACTGGGAGTTGGATGTGCTGTCTTTTATTTTATGAGGGAGCAGGTCCAATCTGTGATGGATGGGGAATTGAAATCAGCCCATCAGGTAGTCACTTGTGGATATCCTTCCTCTGCTGCTGTTCATTGTAGACAGGAGACTGTGAGGAGAGGTCATTGATTCATTGGAAGTGAGATACTATCAATATGCAGATGATACTGAACTTACCATCTGTTAACTTCTTAGTAGGATAATTGTAACTTTAAATTCATACCAATGGGTTCTAGTTCATGGATGAGAGCTACCAGTAAATAATAAATCTCTGCAGATACTATATACAGTTTTTCTTCATTTCTTTCAATGGGGAACACAATTACAGTTCCCCTATCGTATGCTAACAAAATACAGAGTATGTCCTGAAATTGCTGGAATTTGAGGGGAACCCGAAATAAAAAGCAGAATATATTCACTACAAATTTTCCCAAACTCTAATAAAATTAGAGTCCCTATCTGCATTTATTGGGTTTGCAGGACCCTCCACATATTACATAATTTTTACAGAGATTTTGGAAGGCATAACAATTTTTTTAAAGTATAATCACAGTTAAAAAGTGAAGTACAAGCATGGCGCACCATATATCATCTTTTTTTATGCAGCATACAAAAGTCACCAAGTGCAGCTTATAATACTGTTTAGTTGTTGAGACTCATGTCCTGATAAAAAGAAGTTTTTAATGAGCTTTCCTTATTTGGCAGTGAAGAACTCTGTAGTGTTACTAGACTTGTCTAAGCCATTGATCTCAATAGATTAAAATATTGGGGATGGGGGGAGGGAACAGATGAGTTACTGACCGAAGCTGAAGCTGTTGAGAAACTAGTCTATAATTAAAACTACAGAAAGAAAAAGCTTTTCTCATGCTGTCAAAATCTAGGTTTTGCTCCTGAATGTAGTGTACAATATTTAGATTTTTAACTGGTTGTATACGTCTGGCTCCATGTTAGAGAAAGTATTTGCTTAGTTGATGAACCCACTTTGAATCATGTTGGTTGATTAGATAGTGGGACGGAAAGATTACCTTCTATATTTGTAACTGCTGCTTTAATAGATTCTTTTGTATATGTGACAGACCAATGCAGAACCCATTTTACAGGTTCTGAATCCAATTTTCTCCATTATTGTTACTTTTTTTCTAGACATTTATAGTATTGAATAGAGGAAAGGCAATATTCCGATTCAGCGCCACATCTGCTGTGTACCTGTTAACTCCTTTCAACCCTCTTAGAAAAATAGCTATCAAGATTTTGGTACATTCATATCCTTTTCGAGTTCTTAATTCATAATGATTGAAATAATGCTATTTCTGTTTTCAGTATTTTGACTAATTAAACTATGGAGATTTTGTTTGTTTATTTTTCTCCTTTGCCCGTGCATTTTCTCTTTTTGCCTCTTACCCATTTCTTCATTTTTTATTTTATTTATTTACCCATTTCTGCTGATGTTGCCCTCCAGCCATTCATGAAGTGTACAGCTTTAAAAAAAAGATGTTAAAAAGCCTTCCTTTTTTAATTTCTGTTTTCCCCCATGACTTCTTGTCTGCAGCCTTTATTTCTCTGATCCTGCTTTTGAATTTTGCTTTATTATACTAAACACAGTGATTTGAACTCTTGACCCTGTGATTTTTAGATGGTTATCAGGAGGTTCTCAGTAAAATCAATAAGGATATGCACCTTTTCTTAAAATGAATTCATCTGCCAATCGTTCTTTCCCTGCAGTGAGATAAATTGGAGATTTGGCTTATATTGGAAGAGCCATTTCCAATTCCTGGGGCTCTAATTAGGCATATAAAGACAAATCAAATTTCCATGTGAACCGAGTGTGCCTCTTGAAAAATATCCCTGAATCTTCTGCTAAATTCTCAGGATCTGTGCTATATATAAATTGATTTATTAGATCTTTCACAGTTATTTTCAGACAGTTAAACAGATGTTCAAAATATAAATTTGGAGCAGTCTAGAAGTTATGTCTGCTGAAACTCATCTATAACTTGTAAGATGCTGCATTTTGTATTCATCCAATAAATCATGAGGATGTCTCCTTGTTATCCACGGCATAAATGACGAACGTTCAATAGATGTTCTTACTAAGCTGCTCCCTGTGTTTTGTTCTGTATGTCTATGGAGATTCTCAGTCATCCAGGTCACAGTTGTCCCAAATATGCTTTTTCACAAGGCAACTGGACTTTCTTTTGTTCTGTATATTCTAATAGCCCTCAAAGCATTGCATTGTGACTCAAACCTGTCAACTACAGTTTGACTTTCTCTAAAAATAAAAAAAATAGCTGAAGTTTTCTTTATAATTATATATATGCACAAAAGTTGTATATGAATTTAATACAACCTTAAATCCAAATAGTAAGGCTTTATGTTTTCCTTTTTATACAGAATTAAATATTCCTTTTCAGGTAGAAAGCACTTGTGTGTTTTCATGTAATTTTAGTATGGTATAATTACTCTGAATCTATATTACAACTGATCTTGAAAATCGTGAGAGAATTTTGATTACTGGTTCTTAGATAAATTAGAGCAAAAGTAATGTGGAGAAGAAAATTATACTACTCCATTCATCTGTGAAGTTTGCAAGATTTTGTGCAAGGCAGTTTCTCTCCAATTTCAAGGCACACAAAATATTAATGAACAGCCAATGCTCATGTCAATCAAGCAGCATGGCCTTCAGTTTTTGCAGTTTTTATACTCCTAACCTCAGTACCTTACAGTGGAATCCTATGTACATCAGATCCATATAGTCAGTTAATAAGTTTTATTGGTTTGTTGTTTTAATAAATTTATGTATGTCAATTTTTTTTAATTATTTGAACATGTACATTGGACCAGCTGTAGAGATTGGTAGAGTAGATTCCATTGTTTCAGCACCATCAACACATACCTATTTTAAAATGTCTCATGTATTTCATGTTACTTATTCTCAATGTAATATGAATTCAATATGAATATGAATTCATATTTTTATGATTTTGAGAGCTATTTTTCACAAATATTCTTTTGAGCCTTACAATCACATTCTTGTCTTCAATGGCTATGTTCTAGAAATTTCTTAATGAACAGCTTGGTTGTAACCTGTGTGGGGAATGAAACAGACTTAGAAGGGAAACATCCTATAAAAAACTAAATGTTAAGATTCTCTTATCAGAAGAAGGAGGCCCCCAGTTCCATTCTTTACATCCCCATGAATTTTCAGAAATGGCCTCTGGTCCTGGAACCAATACTCCTTGGCAGAAGCCTCTTTCTTCTTAAGAATCATCACACTGAAAATCTTTACCAAAATGTAAATAGAAATTGTGTATGCTAATTTAGCAGTTCATCCCAATAATCCCTTATATACTGTTCTGAGCACCCACTAGGAAGGTGAAATGCACATGTAATACCCTTCAAATAAAGCAGCTCTCAACATGTTTTATTTTATGCTGCCATCATGTGGCCATTTAATGCCTCATAGACAAGAAAACATTTCCAGTAAGATGGTGACAGGGAAGAATTCTATACTGTTGATGACACAAATCTTGAATTATTCTTTGCATGACTCAGCCATTACCTCATGAAGGGAAGCAAAAAAGTCAAGATGATGGCCATACTACCAGTGTCCTATTTTTTTTTTACCTGTGTCACAACGCACAATCAAAAAAAGGGTAGGGCTTTAATCACCTGACTGTGGCCACCATTTTGACTTTTGGGATCCCTTGCAGACACTCCTGGAATTGCTGTTCTTCTTCCCTTCCCTTATGGCCATACCACCACTTTCTTAAGTCCTTCCATTAATAAGCATACAATTGTGAAGCCGGTCAAATGGTTGTTGCATTCTCCCTAAAAGAACAAAAAATTGATCTAATTATTCCACCAGGACTACCTTAGAAGGGTGGGGCTAATACGAAGTTGCCTTTGAAAAGTATAAAATCTAACTTTAAATCAGTTTACAGAAGATAAAATGTCAGACTATATTTGAGCCTTAAAACATTAATAGTTCAGAATTATTGGTGTTCACTAGTAATCAATGTCTTACAGAGCATAGTTTAGCTCTATAAAAATTCAGCGGATATTGAGCTGAATACTATTTTTCCTCCACGTCAAAATGTTCTTCCCTGATTGCGTGTCCTTTCTGTTTGTGGCCTTGTCAACATATTTGTATTCTGGTGTTATACTGGCCACCAACATGTTGTTGCAACTACCTGATTTTACTTTTAATAAAGAGGTAACAACTTTTTTCCATCTTTCATTTCTATAAAAATCAATTTAATTTTTTTAATTTCAGCTTATTTAAAAGTTTACTTTTTAAAAAACTGGAACAATGTAGAAAAGTTTGGAAATTCTCTTTGAGCATTATCTAAATATAGAAAGGTTAACTGAAAACAAGCCAAAATACATTGTTGATGTGATCATTTTTAGGAAGTGTTTTCAAGTATGTTTTCCTTAACTATTAATACATTATTCAGCATGCTTATTATGTGCACTATTTTGACCAACTGTGTATTTATGACCATGAGTAATCCTCCAGAATGGACAAAGAATGTAGAGTAAGTCAAATTTTATTTCCATTCAACATGTTAACAAATCCAGAAACTGTTTTTTTATATGCAGTAATCAAGTGACTTATTCTAATGGCAAGCAAACTTCAATAATGAGTTTCATAACATTGTTTCTTACAAATTATGCAAGTTGTCCTGTATTATATTATTTAGTGCCCATTAAGTTTATGCATAAGAAAATGTGATGTAAACGGGGCCTGAAAGCAAGGCCTATGTTCTATTCAGTGAGTTACAGTGCTACCTTCATTTCAAGTACTTCCATTGGCATGATTCTCACTAGTGGAAATACATGTATTTTCTATCATTTGCAAGCTTATATTTACTTGCCTATAGCTTTTATGTATTATCCTTGCATATTGGATTTTAATTCCTTGCAGCTTCCTTCCTTCAGAAACTTCACCTGTTAAATGTAACATATAGTGGAACTGTTGCTCCCATCTGCTTTTTGTCCTTTTGAATTATCACCAGGTCATTTCTTTATTCCCCAGAACAGAATCATTTGCTATTTTAAATTTCTGGCATTTTCTCCATTTTAATTTTTAATTGGTACCTTTGAAAACGTTGTATATATAATTGGTACGATTAACAATTGTTTTCCTTTAATTTTTGTGCTGAAATTTTCCTCAGATACACGTTCACTGGAATTTATACCTTTGAATCACTAATAAAAATTCTTGCAAGGGGCTTCTGTTTAGAAGGTTTCACGTTCCTCCGGGATCCCTGGAATTGGTTGGATTTCACAGTTATAACATTCGCGTAAGTGTTTCATTGTGTTCTGATTATTTTTCTTTTGAAGCATTTAATAGACAGTGATCTCAGGAGAAAGGTTTATTCAAGAAGGAAAAGTATTTTGAAAGTTTTCTATAACAATAAATCTGATCTCCCTTATTCATGTTATTTATTTTTTAGCATGTCAGAAGCAGTCTGGGCTATAGAGCAAAATAGTGTGTTTGGCCATTTGCTTATAATAAATTAATGCACCACTTCTCAAATTCCCAAATTAATTTTCACTAATAAAAAACAATATGATTTATGCATTGACTTATTTAATTTGAAGGTCAGGAAAGCATATTAGTAAATACAAGGCAATTGCAGCAAAGAGAGAGACAAGGTGTTAATTAAAGACCCCCCCAGCAAGTAGCCTAAGCTCTGCCTCAATTCTGAATAACTGTGGTTTAATTCTACAGGTATATAACAGAATTTGTAAACCTAGGCAATGTTTCAGCTCTTCGAACTTTCAGAGTATTGAGAGCTTTGAAAACTATTTCTGTAATCCCAGGTAAGGAGTGGCTTGACGAAGTGCCAGGCCCCTGGTATTTCCAGCTGTTTTTTGTGTGCTGTCATTGTGTTTGTGTGTGAACTCCCCTATTACAGATATGTGACAGAATTTGTGGACCTGGGCAATGTCTCAGCGTTGAGAACATTCAGAGTTCTCCGGGCATTGAAAACAATATCAGTCATTCCAGGTGAGAGCTAGGTTAAACCCAGAGGCTGACTTTTTAGAACTCCATGGAAGATGAAATCATCTTTTTAAGCATAAGCCATGTTGCTCACTGCGCAGTAGAAGCAAAAATAAAAAGCAAGAATCAAAAACATTACTTTCAGTCTAATGTGATTCTTTGCTTTTTAAATATTACATCTTAAATTTTATTTCCAGTCCAGCCTTTGTGTTTAACACATTCTTGCATGAGACATCTGCAGTAAGTGGCTATACAATTTGCATCTTATGACATCAAGCTTTCCACTTTTAAATTAAAGGCCAACATAGTGAGGCTTTCATATTGATGCAAATTTTATCATTTTTTGCAGGCACTTCAGATAAACTTGCAATCTGTTGTTTATATGCTGTTTAAAAAATATAGTGTGTTAAATATGCAGAACATGAAATATAGCATGGGCCATGCATGGGGATTTCCTAGAAGTTGTCGGTCTTCTCCAAACCATCACCTGTTCTATACCATAAGATTTAATCCAGTATCATTAAAATAGCTTATATCATATACACTTATTAATAAACATAAACTGAGGCACATTGTTGAATACATTACAAAGTGGTCTCACAATAAAGGTTTGGGCAAGAAACACAGCAAGTGAAAATAATGTGCTTTTCCATAAAGATATAGCATGGATAGCAAAATCGTATGTTTTGCTTAGGCCAAGTGTTTCTCTGATTACATACAATGTATATTTATCTATAAATATAAATCTATTTTATTTGTATATTAAATTTGAGATTAGCGTATACTTAACAGCTACTCATTCATGTTCATAGGCAATCAGGCTTTTCATGAAACTCACAAAGACAATTCATTTCATTGCCATACCGCATGAAAAAGTACTTGAATCAACACATTCTTATGAAGTCTTGAACACTATATAAAAAATGCTTCTTTCTTTTTCTTGGCTTGCAGGCCTGAAGACAATTGTAGGGGCCCTCATTCAGTCTGTGAAGAAGCTCTCAGATGTCATGATCTTGACTGTGTTTTGTCTGAGTGTATTTGCACTAATAGGGCTCCAACTTTTCATGGGGAACCTGAGGCACAAATGCCTGATTTGGCCACCGGACAATTCTACTTTCGAAATAAACGTCACATCCTACTTCAATAGCACAATGGGAGAAAATGGTACCTTTGTAAATACGACAGTGACCACTTTTAACTGGGAAGATTATGTCAGTGATGACAGTAAGAACTGATTATTTATTTTATCTATTTATCAAATGTATTGGCCGCCCATCTTACCATAGAGTAACTCTGGGCAGCTTACAGTTACATCTTAGTTAAAACATAAAATGTTAAAATCAAACCTTAAAACTTATATTCTTTATGTTTTAACCTTTCCTCCAATGGTTTTCCTTAGCAGATATAGTGCATTCCAAGCAAATGATGTAGTTGGTTTGCTACTTCATTCTGTTTCCAAGCCAAGGAATATTGGTTTTGCTCTTTTCTACTACAGGTAGTCCTTGACCTATGTCCACAATTGAGACCAAAATTTCTGTTTTAAGTGAGACATTTGCTAAATGAATTTTGTCCCATTTTATGACCTTTCTTGCCACGCTTGTTAAGTGAATCACTGTAATTGTTAAGGTAGTAACATGGTTGTTAAGTGAATCTGGCTTCTCCATTGATTTTGCTTGTCAGAAGGTTGCAAAAGCTGATCACATGATCCTGGAACACTGCAATCATCATAAATATGAGTCAGTTGCCAAACGTCTGAATGTTGATCACATGACCATGGGAATGCCGCAATGGTCATACATGTGAAAACGGTCATAAATCACTTTTTCGGTGCCGTTGTCACTTTGAATGGTCACTAAGTGAACTGTTGTAAGTTGAGGACTACCTGTAATGATACAAACATTAAGGAAATATGTTAAATTGTGGTTTAAATTGTGACAAATAGCATTTTGTACCATCTTATATTGTGGATGACTTTTTAAAAAGAAAAAAAATAGTGACATATTCCAGAGAGACTGCCATATCAGTCTAGTAGAACACAAGCCAAAAAAAAAAGTGATTAGGGAGCCTTTAAAAGGCCTTTTCCTTTTTGCTGAATTGAAATACTATTCAGCCATTCTTCAGTCAGCAAAAAGTGATGCCAGCATGATATTCCTGCCACCATGGCTATTGTGCTTCCGTTGCTTCTGCTCCCAGTCACTTGGATCTTCCTCCCAAAATGGGAAGAAAGTCTGTGGATCAGAAAACCACTGTCTCCAAGGGGGGAAAAATCCCTAAATGCTAGAAAAGTTCTAGACCAGGGGTCTGCAACCTTGACAACTTTAAGACTTAATAATAATAATAATGATAAAGTTGGAAGGGACCTTGGAGGTCATCTAGTCCAACCCCCTGCTCAGGCAGGAAACCCTATACCATTTCGGACAGTAATACCCCAATCAAGAAATTGCCAAAGAAGCCAACAGTAAACAGCCCAACCAAACAACCTCTAAGATCACTCCCACCAACACTGACAGGGGCAAGAAACTAGAATATAAACTGACAGTAAACCCCACTGCTCACTAGTGTTGATATTACCTAGTCTGAGTAATAAAAATCTGCACAAAAACCACCAAGCTCAGAGAGTACCAAGGACCTCTAATTTTAACCCTACTTATAAATATTCTTTATTAGTACTAAAAGGGTCAGGAAGGAGAAACACCTCATGTGTCCCATTCAGTCCCATTCAGTGATTTCTCAGGGACTGGAAGAGAGAACCAGCTGAGTCATGGAATCTCCTTCCCAGTATGAGTCTCACATAAAAAGCTATATATCTTGTATGAACAGGTATTGTACTACAGCGGTCAACCTTTTAGACTCAACAGACAGGTGGCAGCAAGGACGGGTTCGCATGCGCAACATGAGCAAATGAAACTTTACACATTAAGCCACCACCTGTTGTACTGAGTTTAACCTATTTGCAACCCTGTATTCAAATACATTTGAAACATTTTTATCAACAAATGAAACGTTACATTTGGCCAAGACTGATTTAGAAAAACCTTCAAGGAAAAATGGTAATAAAACCATCTGACCTACTATGGATGAACTGTTGACTGATGTGGTCAGCAGGATCTGTGGCATTTGATTCTCTTTGGAACCAAACGCCCACAAGTGCTCCTTCGTTGCTGGATTGGGGCCAGGGCTTGCGCTCTCTGGCTGCCCAACAGAAGCACGCCCCCTCGGAGAAACGCGAGGAGGCATGCAACTCTGGGAGCTGAAGTCCACAAGTCTTAAAGTTGTCAAGGTTGCAGACCCCTGTTCTAGACACTCTGCCATCCAGCCAACTGCCAGCCAAAAGAGGAATGGCTGGGGAGGCCTATGTGGAGATTAGAGATTGGAGGAGGGGAACCTTCAGTGAGCCATTTGAAAGTCACCAGCCTCCCTTTAGGACCCAGAAGGTTTTCCCCTGCAAATGAGGGCTTGTTCCATTTTTCCAATGATGAAAACAAATTTGATCTGGCTTTAGCTGGCTTCTGTGACAGTCTGGCACTGAACTGGAGGCTTGCTTTCTCCTCAGCCAATAATGAGTAAGCCACTTTGATACGAGGATGAGGAGGGCATGTGGAAGAGACCACTACCAGTCTGCTCATTTCCCTGAAAAGTAATGGTGGCAAAGACTAATAGTTTCTGTACACTTTAAGGCTATCCTTAGATGATGTCAGAATACAGGAAAACATTTATACAACTAAAGATGATATATTGCAAGTACTCCTCGGCAATGACTTGAAGGCAACTTCATACACAAGGGGAAAAAAGTTGTTGGGGAAATTTTTTTGCCATGATTGGGTGCAGTTGAAAAACATCTCAAGATTTACAGATTTGTTCTGACATGTAGATGGACCACAAGTCCAGCAGATGCAAAAAATCCAAAGAGCTCCAGTGTGACCTTTTTAGACATTGCTGGCAGTTGTAGCATCTACCGCATTAGTGGGAGAGCAATGTCCCCCCGAGTGCTACATTGAACAAACAGATCAGACTTTGTACAAAAAAATTAATGGAGACAGGTTTGGCAACAAGACTCAAAACAAGGAGAAAGTAATATCAGAGCATTTTAAACTCCCAGAATACTGATTACAGATCTCAAGGTTGCTATTTTGGAGCAAAGAAAGGATCTCAACATCATAGAATGAGAGACTGCTGAATTCCTTTATGTCAGGTTGTTTCACAAAGTCTTTACAAACAAATGAGTGTTTAACACATTACAGTTCCTAACTATAATCTGTTTCACGTACAATCTGCATCTGTATAACCACGCTTTTCCTCTCCCTTGCTGCATGCTTATTCCAATCTTACATCCGTTTAATCATCCTAAGCAACTTATGTAGCTCAGAAAAACTTTTAATAAAATGTGTTAGTTTGAAACAGTCCTGCCAGACTCTAATTTTTTAACTACCATAGACTTACACAGTATTCCTCCTATAACACTGTTGTAATATATTGGTTAGTCTTTAGGGTTCCACAAGTCTATTTAGCTTATTTGTGCTAACAGTAACTTTTAGTGTAACTAAATGTACCCAATTCTCTTTCCAAATAGGTCACTTTTACTTCTTGGAAGGACAAAATGATGCTTTGTTGTGTGGCAACGGTTCAGATGCAGGGTAAGAGGATAATCTATTTTATATATACATTATTTATATAATAAATTACTTATTTGGAAATTGCTGCTGAAGGGATGGTTAAGGGCAAACAATTTAGCTTTTTTAAAAACTATCTGAAGTGTTTCAAATTTGATAATACGGGGGTGGGGCAGAAATTTGCTGCTTAAATATTTGCAGCTAAATTTAAGCTGTAAATATTGGAGATGGAAGGAGGTATGAACATTTCTCCACTTCTCTTTATCAGCCTAACTTTATTTATTTATCTTGAACCCTTGGAAACATTTCTAAACTCAAAATAAACCTCTTTCTTTGTTTCTAGCCGTGAACTGTTATTTAAAGAGATACTGATCTGGTAGGACTGCATTTTATGAGACTGCCTTAAGGATTTAGCTTAGCCAATCTATAATTTTCCCTAGTTAATATTGAAAAAGATCAGCCTTTCTCAATTTGATGCCCTCCAATGTTTTGCATTTTAACTGGTTTAACTGGTTTAATTCTTCATCCCACATTGCCAAATTAAAATTGATGGAGGGCATCAAATTGTGGTCAGTCTTTGTGTGTAATTGGTATTCTTGGATGATTTCATATTACATTTACAATTGAGTATAACTTTCATTCTATTGAAAATTGACAGGCTGCTTGCTCAAGCCTCAATCTGTAGTAAAGCATACATTGATTAGGATAATCTTTAAAAATGGCAATTTTTTCCTTTTTCTAGTCAATGTCCAGAAGGATATATGTGTGTAAAAGCGGGTAGAAACCCCAACTATGGCTATACAAGTTTTGATTCCTTCAGCTGGGCCTTCTTGTCACTCTTTCGGCTGATGACTCAGGACTACTGGGAAAATCTTTACCAACTGGTGAGGGTCTTTGTAAGCAGGAAGTACCAGTAGTAGCACCGAGGCTGACTGTGTAAAGCAGCATTTTAATATAAGCACCTGAATGAATTGAAAACAAAAGTTCACAACTGCTATGTCATGATGAACTGCTTCTGAAGCATAACAGTTGTATACTCAAATGCTCAAATAAAAAACTTCAAAGTCTACTTATTTCATTGAGAGTTAAGTGTATATAACAAGGTCTTGATTTTCATCACATGAGGGCCACTCTAGGCTTTACTTGACATACTGAGGCCTGTGTTCCAAAATAGGTGGGACTTCAAATTGGTGATCATTTTGAGAGAGAGGTTGCAGAGTATGGGAGACAAATAGGGGTCTGCAATCTTGAGGCATTTTTTTCCCTATTGACCTCCAAATTCTCCACAATGTAAATGAGTACCCAATACTTGTCCCTACCCTCTGTGAGTAACTTGCTGGCCTGAAAAGGAATAGTGATAGGCTACATGCAGCCAGCGCTTTTTGCATCACTGGAATCCAACTTTGGTAATCATTTTGGCATGAACATTGGAGCCCTTGGGCAACAGAGAATCATTCCAACTTCCAGTGTTGGAGCATTCACCACTTCTGGAGGCAGGTTGTTCCACTGGTTAATTGTTCTAACTGTCAGGAAATTTCACCTAGAACTAAGGAGAAATTTCCTGACAGTTAGAACAATTAACCAGTGGAACAACCTGCCTCCAGAAGCGGTGAATGCTCCAACACTGGAAGTTTTTAAGAAGAGACTGGACAGCCATTTGTCCGAAATGGTATAGGGTTTCCTGCCTGAGCAGGGGGTTGGACTAGATGACCTCCAAGGTCCCTTCCAACTTTATTATTATTATTATTATTTTCTAAAAAGAATATATGGAACTGTATTAGACTGCCTCATGTTATTAATCCCCATAGCCATAAAGTTTGCTGAGATAGGAATTCTCTTACCAGGAGATACCAAGGAAATGAAGCCACAATGTCATGGACCCAAAACATGTGCTGCAATCCCTTCCCTGATACCAGCAGCTATTACTGGTTTGTGGGAACCTTCCCTATAGTCCTGTAGATTACGGATAAAACACCCAGGCACAGTATTTTGCATATGCTCAATGGATCATGTTATAATGCATTGTTATAATTACTGTTGATTTTTTTTTTCACCCAAAGACAAATATTATTTTCAGGGTCAGCAACTTGAAAACTTCAAATGTTCTCATAAGCTCTAATAGCTCTCATAATTCCTATAGCCCTTATAAGAGCAAATTAACTTGACTATCTGCAGGGCACCATTTCATCTATTCCTACATTGGACCCTATAAAGAATTCATTTCACAAATCAGATAAAACTGAAAGGGTAAGATAGTATTCTCTGCCCAGTTAAACATCCTCCAGATCAGCGGTTCTCAACCTATGGGTCGCGACCCCATTTAGGGTCGATCGACCATTTCACGGGGGTCGCCAAGCAAGGCTGTCCGCCATTTTTTTCCCCTTTTCCGGCGGGTGCCTTACCTCCCTTGGGCTGGGCCAGCTGGTGGTCGGCCTGCTCCGTCTCTGCCGCTTGCCAGCTACGTCTCTGCCGGTGCAGGGGGCGGAACCACACATGCGCGGCGCTCCCAGGCAGGGAAAGTCCTTGACTTACGACCGGTTGGGTAGTCCTCGACTTACGACCAGTTTAGTCCTCGACTTACGACCGGTTTAGTCCTCGACTTACGACCGGTTGGGGGTCGCGGCATTAAAAAGGTTGAGAACCACTGCTCCAGATGAACTGGATTTCAACCTCCATAATTTTCATAATCTTCATCTTAGGGATAGCTTTTCGAAAGGAAATGGGAAGAAAAGTGAGTAAGAGAAAGTGAAATAGAGAACATTGACCAGCATCCCACTGCTCTCTACAAAACAAAGTTTTGCTGGTAGTGTATTGCCTATGCTCCAACTCACCGTACTGCTCAATGTAGTCATTAAAATTTGCCAAATGGGTACATTAGAAGCAACGATAATATTGCACAAGTACAGAAATAACAGATGGGCTATATTTATGCAACATCCTTGGCAGGATCAAATAGCAAATGCATTTGCTTGAGTAACCTGCTAAGTTTGGTTAGTGTTAATCTTCATTAACTATTGTGGCTTAGCATTTTGGTTATAAGGGTAAGCATGCTATCCTTAATACACCCTTCCTAATTTGGTCCCTAGCCAGTGATTTTTGATGTTATCTTCAAATACAGCTGAGTGAAGCAAAGATTGGTAATCTATACTTCTATTCCAGATATTACTGAACTTCATTTTTTTATTGTTTCCATCATTGGTCATCCTGGCTACTGATGGTAAAAGAGTTGCAATTGAGCAATGCCTGTAGGACCATACATTCTTCCCTGCTGTCTTATTGTGCATGTTGACAGAATTGGAAAAGTCTCAGGTGGAATGTCCCAGTTATCCTTAATCTCTTCTTTATGTTTAAGATAGGGGAAGTACCTCAGTCTCAGTGATGAAGGGAGGTGAGTTCCATCTGTATTAGTTCAGTAGCCCACATGTGTCTTGTCTATGATAATTACAGCAGTTGTAGGTTTATTTGTAGATTAACATGTAATCTTGTACATAAACTCACACATGTACCTAATACAGTCAGACCATCTCACCTAATAAGATTATGAACAGCATTTGTCTTATGTTCATTCCCTAGACCAGGGGTAGGCAACCTTGGCTCTTTTATGACTTGTGGACTTCAACTCCCAGAATTCCTGAGCCAGCATGGCTGGCCCAGGAATTCTGGGAGTTGAAGGCCACGAGTCATTAAAAGAGCCAAGGTTGGCTATCCCTGCCCTAGACTATAAGATAAAAGGAGGCTAATATATTTTGGGGGACTGTTTTAAAATTATTTATTCTTTATTTTCTTTTATAGACTCTACGTGCTGCTGGCAAAACATATATGATCTTTTTTGTCCTGGTGATTTTCTTGGGTTCTTTCTACCTGATCAACTTGATCCTGGCTGTTGTTGCCATGGCCTATGAAGAGCAGAATCAAGCCACCATGGAAGAAGCTGAGCAGAAAGAGGCAGAGTTCCAGCAGATGCTGGAACAGCTGAAAAAACAGCAAGAAGAGGCTCAGGTTACTTAATGAGTGGAACACAACTTTTATGTTTTGTCCTATAATTACAAAAGATAACATATAAAGTCATGGTTTACTATATCAAATTTTGTGGCTTCCAGCTGGTTGACTCCAGGGTCATGGGTGACTAAAACATTTCAAGATGGCAACATCTACTGGCCATGTGTATACATATATTCAAACATATGTACCGATGGCCATTGGAGTAGGAAGAAAATTACCACATGTATTCCCTCAATATTGAACCATTTGAGGACAGGAAACTAAAACTTGATACATTAAACCTCCAATAGATTTAATGTACCTATAAAAACTAAATCTCTTTGTCCTCAAAAATTGTTCTCCCAAAAAAGAAAAAAAAAGGAAGCATTGGACCCCAAATATCACTGCTGCCTACTCCTTTTGTCACTATGCCACGGTTCAATCCATTTTTAAAAAGAAAGGCACTCCTATCTTGAGGCAAAATTTCAACTAACAGTGCTAAATGAAGCTCTCTTTTTCCTACAGTTTCAGAATGAATTAAAATCCCTCCATCAGAAATAAAATATAATTAAGGTATTTAGATATTAAATATATCTTCTACACACCATTAAAAAAACCTTATAAGATTTTTGTTTCATTTTGACCTGTCTATTAAAAAAGAATCAGTGAGTCCCATCTGCTAAAGAGAAGTGGACAAAGTACTTTCCTTTTGATGCTACCTAATGAAAGAGGCAAGGGGATTTCAGTCTTCCTCCCCCCCCCCCCCAGTATTCCCCTCTGCCCTCTTTTGGCTGAAATGTCTGGTTTTGATAAGGCTGCTCTGACCCACCAATAAAAGAAAAATGTCCTGTCTGTGAGTTATTTTTTTTAAATTGAGGATAGCATATTAGTGGGCCAAGAAGGGTAACAATAAACCAAAAAAATTAATAGTCATATCCAGAGTAATAACCACATCCTATCCCTCTCCCCATCCTCTGCCTCTTTAGCCAGTCTTAAAACCATGTTTAATTTTAACATACTTAATGAAATTTGGCTACAACTAGGGAGGAAGCTGGAGTACACAGAAATCTTGGGGGGAGGGGAATTGCATGCAGCCCCTCAGCCAGAAGTTATTCACCCATGCTTTTTATTGACCTGTTTGCCCAGGAAGGCTGTATTTTTAGGGATTCCCCAGTTCCTTAACCCTTTTTGTTCCTTGGTCTTTGTGCCCAGTACTGTACTTCTCACTATAGCAAAGACTGTAAACTGAACAACTACCTCTCTTCTTACACACTTGAGAGGTGGTGGATGAAAGCAAAGACTGGCATTTCAAGATTGCTGTAAAGGCGTTCTAAATTGTAGATCTACGGGGGTGCAGAGCAGTGCCCTTGTTGGAAAAAGATTGAACCTGACATACTGAGATAAATTGAGTGAGATCAAGTATGCTTCATATTCATTTAAACATGCCATGTTATTTGGTAAGTTCCTATTTCCTTGAAATGTAGGCTTACTATAATGAGCCTCAAACTCCTCTGTTTTATAAAACAAACCCTCTGAATTAATATATTGGTATGATGTATCTTAAATGTCCTTAACTTTCAGGCAGCAGCTTTAGCCGCGGCGGCGGGTGAATCGAGAGAATTTAGTGAAGTTGGTGGTGTGGGTGGATTCTCAGAAAGTTCTTCAGCAACATCAAAACTGAGTTCCAAAAGTGCCAAGGAGAGGAAGAACAGGCGGAAGAAGAGAAAACAGAGAGAACAGTCTGAAGGAGATGAGAAAGATGAGGATGAATTCCACAAATCAGAATCAGAGGACAGCATTCGCAGAAAAGGCTTTCGATTCTCTATTGAAGGGAACAGATTAACCTATGAAAAAAGGTTTTCTTCCCCACACCAGGTATGGAGAATATACGTGGGCAAAGTAGATCCTGAAGCACATTTCACTGCTGTAGGACTTTATGGATGACTTTATGGGTTACGCCTCAATAAAATCCTGGGTTTCTCGTTTCCCTTTTTCTTCTCATGTGTCTTCTTAGTTGGTTACATCTTGGTATGTAATTGTGCAGACTTAGAATTCATTTCTGTGTTCTATATCAATTTCTGTGCAAGCCTCAAGGAAAAACTTACTGAGTAAATTGTAAAGCAATTCTTCAGAGTACACCTTAAATGAGAAGAATATGCCTCAATCTCCTGGCACTTTTTGCTTCTGTCTCTTCTTCTGATATGGGCCTAGTCCACTCATATATGGAGGCTGCCATTCTTGTTCGTATTCCTCTATCCTTATTTCTTGCTTGCTTAGAAGAAGAGTATAATAGCGAGGCAGCAGCTGCAAAGAGAAGGAACAGTGAATGCTAAGAGAGCTCCAGAAATGGCCAGTGGCTTCTTAAAAGGTGTGGGGGGGGGGGGACTTGTCTGGCCCCACAGAATACCAACCTTTCGTTTGCACCATAAAGCAAATGCCAAGATGATGCAAGCAGAGATGAGTCGGGATTTTACCAATTTATTTTTCACATTTCTAAACCACCCAACTCCCTCCAAGAGGGACCCTTTAATTTATGATTCATTCTATATAGAATGTAAAACCAAGAGAAATGGTGGCACTAATTTAGAAATTAGTGCCACCACTATTATTACTTAATAAATATTTAACATTTTTAAAAAAAAAAATAATGGAGGTTGTTCCTGTGCTCTTGAGAGACCCCCAAATATCTGTATTCATTCATTCATTTCCTTGTATTATCATGACTGCACAATAGTTAAGAAGGATCTTTAATTTTCCCATCGCCTTTCAACCTGTTTATGGATGTTTCTGATCTTGCATTCCCTTACAGTCTTTGCTGAGCATCCGCGGATCGCTGTTTTCCCCCAGGCGCAGCAGCAAAACGAGTCTCTTCAGCTTCAGAGGCCGAGCAAAGGATCTTGGATCGGAGAATGACTTTGCTGACGACGAGCACAGCACTTTTGAAGACAACGAGAGTAGGAGAGATTCCCTCTTTGTTCCTCACCGGCATTGTGAGCGTCGCAACAGTAACATCAGTCAGGCCAGCCGATCCTCCAGGGTGATGCCCATCCTTCCAGCAAATGGGAAGATGCACAGCACTGTGGACTGCAATGGGGTGGTTTCCTTAGTTGGCGGGCCTCCTCTTATGTCACCCACTGGGCAGCTTCTTCCTGAGGTAATAAGAGACCAGAAGCGCAACTATTATTGGCTCAAGGACTGTACCAAACTTTGCCTAGCATGTGAAGAAAGTTGGGGGCCCAGTTTTGACAGGGAGATGCTTTCAGGAATTTTAAGGGCTGGAACGGGTGCTTTATACACCCGCAATGCTTAAGGCATTCATTTGGTCTGTTAAATTCCCCCAAACCCCCAAAACAAACAAAAAAAGAGGTCAGAAATCCCCAAAGGGTTGGTGGTAGCTTTCTGCAATGGACAAAACAGCATTGATTTGAAACTTCAATTCAGATCCGCAAGCACTTTGGCATCGGAGCAGGTTAAACTAGAAATTCTCTTGGCTACTATATTAGCTTGTAAATTAAAATAAAACTTTAAAAAAGCACCTCAAAGTAGGCTTTCAGAAGAATGCAGGAGAGCATATCCTGTTAAGGTAAAGTTCAGAGCTTTCCTATAATAAGGAATCTTGCATAAGAAAAAATCTTGATCATAGGGTGACCTAAAGGGAATTTCCTTTCAGTGTTTTGAAAAGAGTCATATCGTCCCAGGTTATTCCAGCTGCGTGCTGCTGGTTCTGTCAACATTGGGTGGTTATAGATTTTCTGCTTCTGCCAGTGAGGTTTTGTGTGGCCATACGTCTACTGTCCTTATTATTTTGGGAAAAAGGAATACTGTTTGCCTATTTCGTTCCACTTTGTCTTTCATTCTAGGTGCTGCCATCTCTAAGGACAGGACTTAACTTGTCGATACTGTCATTTTCTTGCAGCCCTAGTTGACCTCGTGGTTGTTATCAATCTTTGCTTCCAACTTCACCCCATACTCAGGATTTAATGCTCTTTTAGAAGAGTGCTAGATTCACATTCAGAAATAGCCTAACCGACAAAACCAAGCCCAGAGTAGCTGCAAACTATTAGGCAATTTGGTTGGTGGCTCAGTGTCCTGCTTAATCCTGCCCTACCTCACTTTAGGGAGAATGACTGCTGATAGCTTCCCTATTGGAAAGCAGTGTTTGTTAGGATGGGAAATGAAGCTAGGGAAGTTGACCAATTGCTTTCTTAAATCTACCTTTCATCAAAACAGTAAGAGCAACATTTATCACCAGCCGTATTATTTTGGCAAAATAGAGCTCGACAAAGGAGACAGCGAATTTTATTCAGGCATACTTTTCAGGCAACTCAGAGGCTGCTGGTTAGTTCCTTAATGTGGCCATCTGACTGTGCATATGGACTGAGGAGATTGAAAAAAATGTAGTATATATAAAGGAATTTTGTTTTGTAGTGTTCCTGTTTGATTTTTCAATGGTAGTAAGGACAACTTGGAACACTGTGTTAACATGAACAGTGTTTCAGCAGTTTGTCATGTAACTAAATCAAAGAAACATTAACATTAAAGGACAAAGGAGAACTAGGACTCTCTTGAAGTGAGATTAAGACATTCAATAATTCTCCCTAAAGGATACCAGTCAGTAGCCATCTTTCTTTTTAATCCAGAAGAACAATACTGTTGACGATGACGGATTGCCCTGATGGGAATGTTCTCATAAAAAAAATGTTCCCTAAGACAGAAAATTAGGTTGACAATATTTAACTCAAGGGCAGTGTCAGAGCAATGCTTCTTCTTCATATAATATCATTCCAACTGCTTCTGATTTAAAAAAAAAATGAAAATCCAGGCTGCACAAATTCAAATGGCCACTAAATGGCAGCAAAAACACAGAAAAGGAACTCTTTGCTGCCAAGTCCTGATTGTGCAGATTTATACAAAGTAGATCTAGTAGCTTTAGTCATTAGTGACAGTTGCTAGAAGGAATAATGATGCTGACCAATGAGCTTCATTCATACCAGATTTTTGTTTCTCTGTTCTTAAAAAGCCCCTCCTCATTTTCATACTATACAAATAGGACAGAGAAATGAAAAGGGGGTAATTATAAGGCTAGTCCACAATAAATCTGAGCGTTATAAATTGAAGCTGATGTAACTTTTTATTTGTATGCAAATATAATTAACTAAACCCTTAAAGTCCTTAGATAAATCCTTAAGGCATCTTTAAATGGATTGCTTCCTTAATTAGGACTATTTGAGATGCAGAAATCCAGATGACAGATGGCTACAGAGAGTTAATATTTTCTGTAACTACTCCTGGGGAAACTGTTGCAAACAAGCACTGAGCCAAGATGCACTAAGCTTGATAACAGAAATGATTGTTCAAGCCAAATTATCCCTCTGACTTACTTTTTATATGCAGAAGATATATCAAAGAACTGAATATTGCTATCTTTAGTACTCTGTTCATGCATAGTCTGTTTTTACAAGTCAAAAATAACCATATTCTTCCAATTGATAAATCCAATATTTTCAGGGCACCACTACAGAAACAGAACTAAGAAAAAGGCGCTCCAGTTCCTACCACATGTCAATGGATTTTCTCTCTGATCCTACTGCAAGGCAAAGAGCAATGAGTATAGCTAGCATACTTACCAACACAATGGAAGGTAAGCATCCCATCTAAACAAGGCTTCTAAAATTCAGAGGGCAAAAGCTGAATTTCCATTTCAAAAATAAACATCTTCATATTCATTAATTTAAAATGTATTAATTGACTGTTGGTGGCTATTGATTTGTGTTTTCCCAATATAAACTTTTTTCCTTATTACCAGTACTATTAAAACCTAAAAAAAATATATAGTAAAGAGACCAGATTTGTTGTTCTAGGAGAGAATTCTTAATGTTCTAATCTTCGCTCCAATCAAATGGAGCGAACAGTGCTTCTTTTTTCAGTTTCCTCTGTTTCGTCTGATTTTCATGGTGCAATAATTTCTTCAGCGAAAACAGGGTTCTAATTAGATCTTGCCTGCTCCAGACTTTCATCATTTTCAAATGCAAACGTAACAACAAAGCATGGTTAGCATGAATATGATTTGCAAAGCAAATATTTCTGTAAATTGGTACAGATCCAGGCATAACACCAACCATGGGTTGGCTGTGTGGTGTGTCAGATCAGAGTGTAGCCCTATTTCCTTAACGCCAATTGAAACTCTTAACTACAATAGATCTTTTGACAGAGAGGATGTGTCTTGTCTTAACAAAGATGCATGCAATTTACTTTAATAAGGGGGCTCTTATTGCCTCATCACTTCAGTGTAATCTTTTACCTCTTCCTCCGCTTTGCCTCATCCTACACTTGCAAAAACTAGAAGAGGGGGTCAGTATAGTTAGTACAGGTATACAGAAACTTCTCTGATACTTCCATGCACAGAATCTTCTTTCATGTTCTGAAAGTGCCAGAGAAGATTGCAGAAGTCCTGGAGGATGCTGTATAAAAATCACAAAGAAGAGCAACAAAGATGATTAGGGGACTGGAGGCTAAAACATGTGAGGAACGGTTGCTGGAATTGGGTATGTCTAGTTTAATGAAAAGAAGGATGAGGGGGGACATGATAGCAGTGTTCCAATATCTCAGGGGCTGCCATAAAGGAGAGGGAGTCAAGCTATTCTCCAAAGCACCTGAAGGCAGGACGAGAAGCAACGAATGGAAACTGATCAAGGAGAGAAGCAACTTAGAACTAAGGAGAAACTTCCTGACAGTGAGAACAATTAACCAGTGGAACAACCTGCCTCCAGAAGCTGTGGATGCTCCAACACTGGACGTTTTTAAGAAGAGACTGGACAGCCATTTGTCTGAAATAGTGTAGGGTTCCTGCCTGAGCAGGGGGTTGGACTAGATGACCTCCAAGGTCCCTTCCAACTTTATTATTATTATTATTACTTTGTAGAAGTAATACAACCATTTTGCTGCACTGATAAAAATCATGTGGAGCTATGTCATGCAGCAACTTTCGATGGATTCTCTTCTCAGAACTTTGTCAAAATAGGGCATCTCTACGGAGACTTGCCCAGCCCCAAATTATAGTCAAGCAAATCATTGCTATGTGGCTACCAGAGAGGAAGACAGAGGAAGATCCCTTGTCCCCACTACACAGAAAAGAAAAATACTGCTAATATGCCTCTTCTTCCCATTCATGTTTAGTAAAGAATAGTTGTTTACATTTTTCTGGCCATTTGTAAAAAATAAGATGAGGGAAGTTATTCTTAGGATCCCTGTCATGCTGTTTTCTTTAACGTATGTGTTGAAATGGATAAATTGGGTAGCTTTTTGAGCTTTCCCTATGCTTTCTTTTCACTCTTTCTAGAACTTGAGGAATCCAGGCAGAAGTGCCCTCCCTGCTGGTACAAATTTGCTAACATGTGCTTAATCTGGGATTGCTGGACTCCTTGGCTGAAAATAAAGCATATTGTTAATTTGATTGTGATGGATCCATTTGTTGACCTTGCTATTACCATCTGCATTGTTTTAAATACTTTGTTTATGGCAATGGAACACTACCCAATGACCCAACAGTTTAATAATGTACTATCCGTTGGAAACTTGGTAAGTCTTCTGCATAAGAGAGCAATATTTCTTGGACAGATTGCTGAAATTTTTTTGGACTCTCTACTTAGATCAAGTTTAAGCCATTCTTCTTTAGGTCTCATTCAAATCAATGTGCCATGATATAATGCTAGTAATATTTTGAATTCTAAATATGAAGCTGAAGTGCAGGCAGGACATGATATCTGCTGCTTACAAAATCTGGCAGTTTCTAGACGGGATTGGTATCAAATGCTTTCTTCACTGCAGCTGCAGGGGAGTCAGGAGGACAAATGATGAAAGGAAAACTGCAGAATAAGAGGAACCAGATCCAGTGAATACTTAGCTGCCCATGAGAAATCCTACATTGAGGCAAAATGCTGAAAGGAACCCTATTAATGAATCAACATGGTGTTTTTTTTAATTGCAAACCACACAGACAGACAGACAGACATTGTTTTTCTATTCCCAGTTTTACAGTTGGTAAAATTTAAAGGAAGTGAACTCATAATTTGATTTTAACTCTTTTACTACTGAATACCTTGTGGTGACTTGGATATGTAAAACTGTATTTTCTTTAAAAATATAAATGCTCCCAATCACCTCTTCAGAAGGAGCTTGATTGTAAAGACCTTGCTTTGCATGCTTATATTCAATCCAAGGAATCACCCGTTAAAAAAAAAGTAGTGAGTAATTCTAGAGACGCAAAACCATATAAAATAGACAAGAAATGGACATACTTTATGATTGGGATCTTTGGCGGGGGGGGGGGGGAGGGACAGAGATCAGTATCTAGAAGTTCCAGCAAAGAATTCAGAAGCAAAATAATGGCATGGACAGATAGTTAAAAGAATGAAGTACATAATAAATCTGAGTACTTTATATATATTCAGTCCGAGAATTTGTGATGAATATCAGAACTAAGTTCAAAAGTTCTCTTTGCACAAATATTTGTTCCCAATTTTTTTCTACTTTTCAATAGACCTTTCTAATAATTGCTATTGCTAGTGGTGGGAAAGTCAATCAGAAATGTAAGCTAATTTAGTATAGATGCCCAGAGATTTACCTGTAGATCCTGATCTGTCTTCTACTAGATAAAGAATACTGGGGGGAAAAACTTGCGGGATAGCTTCCTTATGAATGGGGAGTGTGTGAGATTGAATCTTATGCCTAGTGGTAAGGACATATAAAAATAATGATACACGTTTCCATTTCTCAAAATATCAAACTTTTGAATCGGAGGTATTTTTTTAAAGTTTGCCTTTATCTTTCTCAACAACATTTTTATGAATAGACTGGTCACTGTTATTTAGGACTGATGACAAATGATATTTTTTGTATGTAGGTGTTTACTGGCATCTTCACAGCAGAAATGTTTCTCAAAATAGTTGCCATGGATCCTTATTATTATTTCCAAGAAGGCTGGAATATTTTTGATGGCATCATAGTCAGCCTGAGTTTGATGGAGTTGGGTCTTGCAAATGTGGAAGGATTATCAGTTCTAAGATCCTTCAGATTGGTAAATATCTACAGGAGGTTTCAAGAAACATTTTGATCATATTATCTATTCAGAGTAATCAAATTGTGAATATACATATTGCATTCTGATCCCTGAATGTTATTCAAAAATAAAATAAATCAGCAGTTAATTGCATGAAGAATATAACAGTAGGTTTGATCAATATTTTCTTAGGAATTAAATTCATCAAGACCAATAAGATCTTTTCCAAAATAGGTTTGTATGCATCTTGAGTCTCAAACACAATTACTTAAGCCACCAATATATATTGACTTTACATACTCAGGAGAACCTTCACATGGATTTCTAAATCCAGTGTCAAGAGCAGAATTTCTGCACAAAATAACTCTTTTTTTATTATGAATGAAAAGTAATTAAAATCAGAAATAATTAACACTGATACTGATGCCTGTGTGCTTTTATTTTTTTCAGCTTCGAGTTTTCAAACTGGCAAAATCTTGGCCAACATTAAACATGTTGATAAAGATTATTGGCAATTCAGTAGGTGCCTTGGGAAATTTGACTTTGGTTTTGGCTATTATTGTCTTCATTTTTGCCGTGGTTGGAATGCAGTTGTTTGGCAAGAACTACAAGGAGTGTGTCTGCAAGATTTCCAATGACTGTGAACTCCCACGCTGGCACATGAATGATTTTTTTCATTCTTTCTTGATTGTCTTTCGAGTTCTTTGTGGAGAATGGATAGAGACTATGTGGGATTGTATGGAGGTTGCTGGGCAGCCCCTGTGCCTTACTGTCTTCATGATGGTCATGGTGATTGGCAATTTAGTGGTATGTATCAAGCAAATGTCCACTTAAGGCAAGTAGTCCGTTGCAACTGGATTCTTTAAATATTGACATTGAACAATTGGCATAAATTTAAATTTTAAAGCAGTTTTGATATTTTTTTTTACTTTTCTGTTCTAGTCAGCAGGTCATGCAAATACAAAATATGTATTCCTGCCCACATTCAAAAAGTAGGGTGGGGTTTTTTAGCGTAAAAGAAAGATTTCCTGTCCAGTCATGTCCTACTTGAGGGCATGGTACCCATCTCCGTTTCTTGGCCAAGGGTGCCAGGATTGTCCAAAGACATTTTCCGTGGTCATGTGGCCAGCATGACTATATGCCAAAGGTGCAGAAACACTGTTACCTTCCCACCAAAGTGGTACCTATTAATCTACTTACCTTTGCATGCTTTCAAACTGCTAGGTGGGCAGAAGAGTATTTTTAAGGGTATTTCTATTATAATTGTCGTGGGCTTATTATCTCTTTTTAATAGGGAAACACAGGGACCTTGCTTTATATGAAGTCAGATCCAATTAACTCTATGATGTCTATGCTACAGGTGGAGAACATCTTTTTGGCTCCTGAAGGATATTAATATTAGATGAAAAATGCAAATCATGATTAGGAAAACTGAATTATTATGTTTAGTCAGTAACAGTGTTAGAGAATTTTAAACAGTCAAATTAATACATCTGCTAGAGAATATCACCTAACACAGAAGTGGGTTAATAAGAATGCTGATCTATTTCAGTGTGGGTTCCTTATGTTCAAAAAAGATACCAGATTAGGAAGCAGAACATAGGCATTAAAATAGTCTGATATAAGAGTAATCAAGAAGAAGCAACACTTACACCAAAATATTCAGACATTGTTGTTAATAGCATGATAAACTGAGTGACCCTGTTTTTCTTTTAATAGGTTTTGAATCTTTTTCTGGCCTTGCTCCTGAGCTCCTTCAGTTCAGACAATCTTGCTGCTACAGATGATGATAATGAAATGAACAACCTCCAGATTGCAGTGGCTAGGATTCAGAAAGGAATAGATTTTGTAAAAAGAAAAGCTCATGAATTTGTACAAAAGGCGTTCGTGAGAAAACAAAAGGCTTTGGATGAAATCAAGCCCCTTGAAGATCTAAACAATAAGAAAGACAGTTGCATTTCTAATCATGTGATAGTAGATATTGGCAAAGATTTTAACTATCTGAAAGATGGCAATGGGACCAGCGGCATAGGGAGCAGCGTGGAAAAATACATCATTGATGAAAGTGATTACATGTCATTCATAAATAACCCAAGTGTAACTGTGACAGTACCCATTGCTGTTGGAGAATCAGATTTTGAAAATTTAAATACAGAGGAATTCAGCAGTGAGTCAGATCTGGAAGAAAGCAAAGAGGTAAGTCATGTATAATATGCAACACATATATTGTGGTGGTCTTTTCAAAACAGGAGTTGCGCTTATTAAAAAGTTTAACTGACAGATCACTGTTTTCATATCTTTCAAATAAATATTTTAATATAGTTCACATTGAATGCCAACATATTATAACTGTACATTAAAATCACTCTAGATATAATTGCCTTTCTCTGAAGTTTAACGTTAAGGTCATTAATGTTTTTATTTTTCTAACTTATAAAAAAAACACAGGTTTGCAATTAAATGTTAGTTATTGATATCAGAATTTCTAGAAGATGCTCCATAGCTCTTTAGCTTATCTTATAGTTGTGTCCATTCAGAGGCCTTTGTAACTCAAGAGCCATGCTGTTCTTCGGCATTTAGAAATTGACTCAAATGGGATGGAAACTAACTTGCAGAATTAAATGTAAATCAATCATGTCTCAGTGTTAATTGTATACTTTCTAAATGACCTATTGATGACTTAGGTTTGATGAAAATTGCAGTATTCTGCACACACTCACACTAGCATTCACATAAAAAGTAGGTGCACTTATTTTACTTGGTTTGTTTTCTGTGTATTATTTTGTAAATCATTAGAGGTTGAAGGTTTTTTTTTCAATAAAGGATCAAAGCATTGCACAGTCTTAAATCCTGCCAAACCAGCTGTAAAGCCATTTTTCTTTTCCCAATTTTTCTTGCCATTGTGGTTTCAATTGCATTTACAGTATTAGTTTGAGGAGACATCTCAGTCTGCTTCATTAAAGCCAGGTTCAGAACCTGGTTAATATTAGAACTTGGTTATTTATGAAACATTTTTTTAAATTGTTTAAGTAACGGATAGAAATCTCTTTCATTCCAGAGCAGTAAGGGATGTAACCGAAATAAAATATTTCTTGGGCTAGGAAAAAAACTGAGCCATTTTGTACTCATAGAAGCCACTTATAATTTAATGATTGGTTTATAAAGGGCTAGATTAGCAACCCCAGTTTTTAGAAATACCAATGATATGGTATATAATTTGATAATTAATTAGCTATTTTATATAACTTGTAGTCTACCTTTCATTGCAAAGATTTTCCAGAGCAACTTGCAAAATCATGGAACATTGTAACTGAAATAAAATAAGATGGAAAAAATCAACAAAATAGTGGTTCAAACTGTTTTAGAAACTTTAGTAATTACAGATGAAAAGCTAAGTCCTTGAAGCCAAAAAGACTTATATTCCTTTCCTTTAATCTAGTATTATATTTCAGGCAATATAAAAATTGTGGTAATTTTTCTATCAAACAACTTCTAATATTTTCAACTTTTAATATTTTAGTTTGTAATCCAGAGAAATTTAAATTTCCAATCTGATGTATTTTCATGGAAGAGTTGAATAGTTGCTTAAATCTCTCTTTTAGATTTAAATTTTTATTTTTAGTCTTGATGTTTATATTTATTATACATTATACTTTTTTAACAACCGTACTTTTATACTTTTTCAATGACCATATCCAGTTTCCTTATGCTGGTCTATGACCATAATAAAGATTTGATCAGATTTGTTTTCATACATTTGTGCAATGAAAATTTTTAATTGATTCTAAACATGGCTTATTTGATTTAGTCAGGGCTTTTTATACATGGTTTATCAGAATCCATAAATATTTCAATAACTATATTACAATATTTAAAAAAACGATTACTATTTCTTAAGTTTGAACTTCTTGAGTTCTTTATCACCATCAGTCATCTTCCATTAATGTTCATTAACATATAGTTTATACGATATAATTGCATTCCTTTAAGATTTTGATGTTGTTTTAAGCTACTTTGGAAATAAATTGTTCATCATTTCGTAAATGCAATACTTCAAAGATTGAATTTTAATATTGCTAAATATTGAACATTTAAATACTGGACATCTGTTAGATAAACTTTTGAAATTGCTGCCATCTCCAGAGCTGAGAAAAAAGGCAATATTTATTTATTCATTTTTTCATCCATTCCAATACAGTAATTCTATACCACCCAACTACTCACAACTCAACATTCTTTTATATTGTGTCCCCAGCCTCTCTTTTCACTTAACTTTCTGGAACAGTTTTTTTTTCTTTGTACTTGGGAGGCTGAAAGAGATAGAGAAAGAAAGAAAATATTTATTCAGTTAATACTTTCATGAAAATTTGGAAAGTTTCCGTTCATCATTTTAATCCTCTCATCTTTTCTCACTATTTCCCCCATTATTTTTTTAAAGAGAACCTCTGTAAATGAGAAAATGAGAATAACTGCATTCTTTTCTAATTACTACCACTGGGCCTCTCCATCAGAGTCTCTCAAAAACAAAATCTAATGACATTAATGACCCATTCTTAATTGATTGTAAATCTCTCCTTGATTTCCAAAGGAGAGATTTAAGCTACAGTCCTCCTTTTTTTTGTGGGAATTCTGTATGTGAACAAGGAAACCTTGTGTGACTACCACTCAACTCACAATATTACTCCTCTTATTGAGATGTTGTAGAGTTTCATCAAAGATTGTGCTTCTTTTTACTCCTGACTGGCGTTGCACCCTGTGTGGTGACAGGCTTCTTATCAAAAGAAAAGCCTAGTGGGATCTTAATATCCTATAATATTAAGCACAATAGGACCTTTCATATTTCTCATCCACAGAAAATACAATGAGCCCTTAAGCTCATGCTTAAATTTTGCAGAGACATCAGTAAGAAAACCTGTAACTATCCCTTCATACATATAATAATTAGATTTTGTTCTGAAGCTTTTTTTTTTTATGCAAGTAAAGAAATGATCAAAATGGACTTTTCGGACTCATGCCTGACTCTTTGTGCTTCTGTAAGCTGTTCGTCTACGGCTAATTTGGGTAGCCCATGTTAATAATACAAATAATTGGAACTGCCTTGGCATGTAGCCCTGGCAATAAAATGTGTGGCTTGCTGTTAGAAAGCCCAGTTATGCAAAATTTCCATAATTAATTTGTCATTACATAAGTCAACCCGTGTCTTGATTTCTTGATCTTATTTTTTTTTAAAAAAAAAATATTGTTTATTTAAATGATTTATAAAGTCTCTTCCCCGCCCCCATCTCACAAGATAGGTTATCTTGGTGAAAAAGGAGAAAGTGAACTTCACTTGCATCAACTCCAGTGCACACATCTAAATCTGGATGCAGTCCAGATTTTGGCTGATATAAGATTGGTAGAAAACATTTGTTTATTGAGTTTGATTGTGAAACTCTAGGTCATGTTTTCTGTTGAATACAGTACTAAGAATAAGGCTAGATCTTTAAAGTATATATGAATATTCCTGCTTTGTGCATGACTTTCAAACAAATTGCAAGTCTTCAAGTAAACATTCCAATTCAACACGTCAATACTGTATAGTTTCTGTCTTAAAAATTCACTTCCATTTTGTCTCGCCTCATGATGAATTCTAAGAAGACTGAGCAGCACATGCTCCAGAGCCAATCTGACCATCCTTCATATAAAAACATGCAGTTATTTTCTTCTTTTATATATATTTTTAAGAAAAATAATCATATTGGTAAGTCAAAGCATACCTACTTATCCGGAGTTAAACGCCAAGATACTGTATGCAAATTTATTTCCTACCGTTCTTACTTCTCGCAGGATTAAAATCAAGCTGGATCATTCAAGAATGCAGCTCTGGTGCTTTTTTGTCAGACAGCAACGAACAGCACCAGTATTACACAGGTTACTTAAGCAAGTTCTACCTCTATACGATATTTTTTTTTAAATGGGTACTGACTGGCCTGCATGCTACTCTGCCTTCTCCTTTCCCCTTTCATTGCAGTATTATAGAAACTTCACCGCTACTCCCCTCTGAGTCATATGACTCACATCCCAGCATGGTCAGGCAGTACTTGCAACTGGAACATTTATAGGATTTCGGACTCTAATTCACTAAAATTCATAAAATTTTAGCAATGCCTACAAGCTGCATGTAATGTATTCAACTTTGAAAGCATCGGTTTAGCTTAATTCTGGACAGACTAAAGTATTCACTATTTAATCAAACTGGGGTGAACTTTATTCTACTTACAATTATACTTTGTTGGATTATCTTCATGCTTTTTGAGGGTGTTTTTTTTTTTAATGAGGATCATCATTTTAATAAATTTGAACGCACATATTACCAATTTGCGGAGATTCGATAACATGATTTATAAAAAACAGAAACCGCCTCACCAATGCTGAATTTTTTTTTCAATGAAAGTATGTTGACAAGGCGATAACACTGCCAACCAAGCCCACAATCATGACAGTTCCTTTCACTGACTTTGAAAGTGATAAAATGACAGTTTTGGGGGCCAGAGACATTTTAATTAACTGTAGCATAAATGATACTGTCTCATGATGGCCCTCATTAGGTCCCCTCTGGTTATTTTTTAAAGCTTTCAAGTTATTCGCAAATGTAAACATTAATCTTCTTGTTCACAAGAATGATTCTCTGGACATGAGCCCAAGACTCCCCATGTCCCCCATTTCACTTTCTTTTTCTGCACATAACTGAAAAAAGTTGCATTTAAGAAAATACAGTTTGGCCCTGAGACTTATATACCAATCCCAAAACTGTCAGTTCTAAACAAAATTAATGGGCTATTGTGAACACATTTAGAGAGATTCATTGAAAATCTGGTTCCTCATAGTCCATGTGAAGTAATGCACACTCTTCCAGAGACATTATCCTTAGTAATGGATGCAGTTTTCTTTCTCATGTGTGGAAATACAACAAGCATATACTGCAACTAAAAAGCATGTACAGATTTGCTTCTTTATGCTCAAAACTTTAAGAATTTGATATATTGGGTAAAATAATTTTTATTGTATTGAAAGAAAAATCTGCCGATAGCAGAGGTAATGAAATAATATCACTTCAAAGTTTATAATCACTATAATTGAAAAAGAAAAAAGTGGGCTATTACGTTATTTTATAAACAGAACCACTTTAAACCCATTGACTGTATTGCTTGTCCCTG